ACACTGAAATAAATGGCAGTTAGAAAATTTAAAAGGTTATGTTGTGTCAATGGTTAAATTAAATCAGAGGATTAATTTACTTACTTTTTACATTTTAGAACAAAAAACTCATAGACAATGCAAAGCAAAAAATTAAAAAAAAAAATGGAATAGAACATCTGCGCTCCTAACTCTAACAAATCATAAATATTTCTTGCTCTTATATGCCATTATTGAGTTATTTAAATTGGAATAAAATTTAATTTGCAACGCTTAAACTTTTCTCTTTGTGCATTAATTTTTGGTAACAAAAACTGGCCGCTGCCTTTTTCCTTTCGCTGGCGGGGGAACGGGAAATATAAATTTTCGAACCCCGAAATTCTACACTGTCATCAAAGCGTAACTAAACGCCCATTTTTCTCAACTTTTTGGAGTTTCTTTCTCGGGTCCGACAACCATTTTCGGTAGTTATTAGTGGCATATTTTGGCCTAAAGTGCGTGAACCATGTCGAACAGCCAGCAAAGGCAACAAAATTTATTGTTTAGTAGCGGAGTGGAGTTAACAACAAAATGGACCTCCCAGCAAAAGAGAAAGACACGCAACAACGAGGCAATGGAATGGGAACTTAAAGCGGACCTGGCCAGAAAAAATATTAACGCCTCGAGCGGTAAGAGAACCAACAGTTGGTTAGTGGTAACTGTTGTTTTTGTTGTTGTTGTTGTTGTCAGGTGAGTGGTGGCGGTATGGGCTTAAAAGTGGAAGGGGTGGACCAGGCCGAACCTCTTACCTTATTGGCTGACATCCAAAGACCGACCACGACCACCATCATCGATGGTTGGATGCCCCGGCTGCCGATGATGATGATGATGGCGTTGATTATGGCTTATTTTCAAATCTCACCCATATACATTTGCCTTTGCCCCTCACACCATCCATCCGCAATCTACACTTCTTGGAAGCGAAAAAAAGTGGGCAAGAGCAAATTATGTGGAGTCATCAATGGCAGGCCAGGGCATCACATCAGCATCAGCATCGCATCAGAATCGTAGCATCGCCAGAGTGGGAGTGGAGATGGAGATGGAGAGCACGCAAACCCTGGCCCCGGACTCAACCATTGGTGGTTGTTATGGCCAAGAGTGTTGGGCAATTTTCAGGCTGCAGCTGGGTTGCCGGAATTACCGGGGATTAGGTGGCCAGCATAGGAGATCTTGGCATCTTGATATTAAATTAGTTCATTTTGGGTTCCTTTCATGTAATTTACGTTTGGTAAGAAGAGGCTCGGAGATGGACTATAAAAAATATATATTTTTTTTTAAATTTAAGGTCACTAATACAATTATTAAAAATTCTTTTTGGTAAACCCTAGATATTTAACTACCCCCTAGATATCAAAACAAATTAAAATGAGTCCAGTTCCCAGAGATTTTAGTCTAGCTTAAAACACAACAAATACAAAATAATTTAGGACGAAATATATACAAACTCAAACTCAACAATAGGTAAGCTACTAAAATAATATATTATTTGAAGCAAAGGCAATAATGGATCAACAGATTGCTCTTGTTCACCCGCTATTAGGGAAACATTTACAACCACTTGCACCGGGTTAATCGTCTCATGTCATGCCCATTAGGCTCGATCAATATCGATCTCTGGCCGATCATCTGCCCCGATCTCTGTAGCAGATTTGAGCGTAAAATCGAGTGCAATAAAATAAGCAGAAAGACACACAGCAAGTGCCCGACTGTTTGCCATCAACAAAGACACGACACGCTCAGCTGAAGATCGGGGGAGGATCATCTACTCCGATCGCGAGCTGTCCATGATGGCAGCGATGATCACGGGACGTGGAACCCTGGAACCCCGCTTCCTGATTCCAATACCGATCCCGATCCCGAAGCGTAGCATTTTTGCACGGCACATTAGCTGTTTGAGAAACAGGAGGCCCATAAACTCGTAGTGTTGCAAATTTTTATTTGGAAGCAATTTTCACACCCTGCGAGGGACGAAAATGGGCTCGGCAAAGTCATGCGGCGATCGGTGCTGACCTATGACCCCTGGCCAGTGGACGTTGCTGCTGCTGCTGATTTTACCAAATCTGCTGACAGGACACAGCGTGGCTAATTCGGAAACGCTTGACAACTACATATTCAGAGGGCCAAAATCGAGAGACAGAAAATAAAAGGGAGAGGGGACTACCAGACGCAAAGTTGCAAATGATGCCAAATGATTGCCGACCATATAAATTCCGATTGTGAGCGATTAGCAGGGAAGTCTGCCTACACTGCCAGGTACCGCACCACGCCCCCCGCCTACAGCGTTTTAGTCGCGCTTCATCGCCGGCGATTATTTGCAATTATGAGCCGAGATTTTACACTTTTAGTGAAACACTCCCCCTGCAACAAAAAAGGTGCTAGGCAATGGAAATGCAAATATGCAACCCAACAAAAGTTTGACTTTTCGACTTGTTTTCTAATCACCTGAGTTTGGGAAACTCCTTAAAATTCCCAGCTCCTTGTTGGTTGACCAAATCGTAGACCTTCAATAAGTGTTCAAGGACACACACAACTCGGTTGGAATATATATATGGTTCTGTTCAAGGTCGAAACTCTCGGGGGTTTTTGGACTTCCATCGGTTTTGGTTTGTTTAGAATTGTTGTGGCGTTGTTTTACGGATAGATATTATTTTGATGGATTAGCCATATCGCATTGAAGGTCGGCTCTTGGTTAGCCTCGAATTTGTAACGACCCGTTTTGTGGTGGCTAACCAAAATACGAACTCAACACTAACAGTGCGAGCAACAATTATGCAGAGAATGCTAGTTACAGAAATCATTTCTCCATATTTCAATACTTTGCTATCATTAAAACATAAGTTTAGGACTTCCTAGGCGGTTGCAGTTTTATTAAAACGCTTAATTTTATTTAATTTACAAAATTAGGTCTGATGCTTCAAAAAACATTATTTTTGTTAATTTAAAATATAATTATATTTTGAAATAACCTGGGTTTTGATTACTATCCTCCTTTAAAAATAATAAAAATTACTTCAGATGATTGCTTATCATAAAGAAATTACCACCATTCTCGCTATCTGCCATTAGTTAATGAATAGACCCATCAGACTTTAGTAGGTCTGCCGAGTCGGGTTATTTTTACAGCCTCGAAAAGCGAGTGGGACGAGACGAGAGGTGATCGCTACCTACAGCAGAGAATAGAGTTTTCGATTTTATGATTTATTTACATTCCAGCCTTCTGTTCTTACTCACTCGCTCGCCGTGAATGCCTGGGAGTGCGTGTGTGTCTCATCATTTGGATTTTCCGCGGCAATAAAATTAATAAGAACGCGCTAATTTTTCAGGCCCCGGGGCCTAAGCAAATAAGCAGGCACAATTTCCTGCAACTCCTCCACCCTTTTCCCCTAACTCTTTTTCAGCGCCCAGACTGTGCCAATATTTGCCAAGGGATTTTTAGACTAAGCCGAAAACGGAACTCTTTCCGTTCGCCATTTTGTTCGCTTGGAAAATGCTCTTCCTGTTGTTGTGTATATGTTTTTAAAAATGTCTATATGAAAATAAACAGCGCAAAACAATTTACAGTTTGGATAAACTACAAAATATTTGTCTTTCTAATGACAACAACAACATTTATTGATTATAATATTTTAAATCATATTAAGAACACAAATATTATGCTTTAATACTTATAAATTGTAACTCCGAGGATAATCATCCATTAATAGCTTTTAAATTATCAGAACAGCGAATAAATGTGTAGTTCATTGAAAATGGCCGAAAGATCGGGAAGTAAAGAGGGGTCTTCGAAATGGGGAAAAGAGGACAGGGCGGGGGTTACCTGCTCTTTTAGAGCTGTACACACTGTCCAATTAGTGGAAGCGGCCAAGCAATGGATGAGGAAAAGGTAAGACATAAAGTCAGCTCGGAATGCCAGAGTGTGCGTTAACAATCGACTGAGAGTGAGGGAGCTGGCTGCATTCGAGCGAAGTATATAAGACCACTCCGAAACCTACTCCGAAAAGCAGTAGAAAACTTGTTCTGACATGGCCCATGTATAGGAATGGTTGGGGAGTAGAAATATCACGTAAATGTAGCATAATACTTTAAAAACGTTGTAAACGAAGTTATTTATTTGTAAATGTAGTTTTTAATATATTTTTTATATGACTAAAACAATTTAATCAAATAACCTTTGTTAAATATAATAACGCAATACGAATTTAAAAATTTATACTCTTATTCTTATTATTCTTATTATTCATTGTTCTTAATATGTGCATAAGTTAAAAAACATTAAATTTTGTGAAATTATTTATTAGTGTTAACCATAAGAAGTTTACTTAACGAAGACATTAGAACTTATATAAACAAAAGATATGTACATATTTTACATATATAATTTTATATGAACAAATTTTAAATATTTTTGGAACCGACTTTCTACCGTTTATTCAAAAACCATAAATAAAGGCTAAAGACCTCACCTAGCAACCCAAAATAATAGTTAAAACCCTTTATTAGGCAAACAGTAAGCGTATCGGAAAACCCATTAAAACCAAGCCCATAAAAACCTTACCGAAATAGCCGAAAAAATTGCGATAAATAAATATAATTAAATGCAGTCGAGGCTATGACGAAATTTCATGAGATTGCGCAAATAAACCGGCAATACAATCGATTACACCGAAAATGCCGGGCAGAGTTTTTCCATTTCCGCCATTTCTTATTGGGCGACGTACGCTATATATATATAAATACACCGCACACACCGAAAAGCGAAACATATATAGGAATCGATCCCGAAGACAGAGAAAACAAACGACAGATAGCGGTGCTCTTCTGGCGCATGCTCACAAATAGCAGCAGATGGATAGCTCCGCCCCACTCGCACACACAGCAAACGGCGATCGTGAACCGACTGCTTACGATCCGATCGGATCGGGGATCTCGGGTCGCTGCTGACAAACGCAGAGTCGGACGAAAGAACGCACCGTGTGTTTCAGTTAAGCGTTGGCACTGAACCGGGCAACAATCTTTCACTCCTCCGCTCTTGAATCGTCGCGATCAACCGATCAACCGATCTACCAATCCACCGATCTATAACTAGAGCAAACTGAGAGAGTGTTCTATTAATCGAAACGATCGAATTTAAAGTATTTTAGCGTGGAAAACTCACAAGTTCTTGTTGTGTGTCCCATGATTGCCGTGTGATCGATCCATTGGAATTAATTGCACAAATATGAGCAGCAATATCGGCATGCGCATGCTAATGATGATTATGCCTCATTTATAGTGCGCTAATTGAACGCGAAATTACTCGATAAAACCAAATATACCCCAACCATTCGCAAACAAACATCAACTCGAAAGAAAAATAATACCAAGTGTGTTTTAGTGAGAGTGTGTGTCGATTGACCGAACAGCCGCATAAAATGGATATCAGCTATATCTTCGTGATCTGCCTAATGGCCCTGTGCAGCAGCGGCAACAGTCTGAGCCAAGTCGAGGGCAAACAGAAATCCGGAAGGGGCCGGGGCTCCATGTGGTGGTAAGTCCATCAAATATTTTCCATTAAATTGGGCAATTAGCGTGAGGGCGACAATAAAAACAGTAAACAGCAGTCGGTAGAAAAAAAATGCTGAAAAACCGGGACAGAAGTCAAGGAACAACATCAGGGCACGCGCCCAAAAGTTTTCGATAAACATTTCCCACAGTAACCAAACAAAAAAAAAACAAAACGCTAAAGGTATTGTGCGTGACGCACCAAATGCGGAAGCCACAAAATGCACACACACTAAAAAAATAAAATAAAGCTTCGACTTCGCTCCAAACTTCTCCGCATCTTCTTCTTCTCCTTGCCTGATGAAAGCAATTAAAAATTCTAAGCGCGCATTCAACTTTTACTTGGGATAAACTTTGTGTGTGTGTGTGTGACACAGTTTAAGATCTGAATGGGGTTTTGGGTGAATGGAATCGAGGGGTAATAAAGAGGTTTGATAAGGAAGTCAAGACTTTGGGATCTACCGCAGAGTTGCAGCAACATTTTTTTACTAGCACACGCAGATAAATCAAGTTCGTTGCCTAAGTCTTTCGTTTAGCTTTTGGATAAATTTAAGAATTGCTGTAAGAACAAAAAGTTCGCTATAATGTTAAAAAGATTAGTTAGCTAAAAAAAAAAGTAAAACATTAAACATTCTTTATCCCTTAAACTTCTTCCGACAAATTAAATATTTCAACAATATTTAAAATTACTAAACTTTGACAATTTAAAGGAATTCAATTTTAATCACAATTTTTAAAGCCAAATGTTTATTTGTTATTGCTATTATTACCCAGCTTCCATATATTCTCTGATGAGTTGTTTGTTTGACTTTTATCATGTGCAAAACTTCAGCTAAGCCTTAATAACTTTTTATAACGGCATAAATTTCAGCCGTAACAATAAAAAATCAACACAAATACTTAAAAAAAAAACAGAAACAAACACAGCGACACAAATTGTGGTTGCGACTTGGGATTGCCGTCGCATAAATCTCAGTTGGGGCATCGATTTAATCCGCCTGGGAATTGAAATCGATTGGCAATCGCTGCCCCCCAGATCCCCGCAGATGTTACACTTTCGATCAAGTTTTTGTTTTATTTACGTACTTTTATTAATTTTCGTTGCATTGCGCAACGTTCTGTTCCCACCGCAATCAGCATTCAATTGAATTGGCAATTAATTTGCATTCTCCGCGGCCTGTCAATAAACATTTGTTTATGTCTGTTTATTGTTTGTCGTGTGCATAAATAAATACATCTATATGTGTTGCTGCTAATGAAGCGTGGAAACAATATTATAAAGATCAACAATTGAAACAAGAAAATAAATTATGACAGGTCAGAGGGGAGCAAAGCGTTAGCCGACAGGTGTCTGCAAATATTTGTCCATCTCCGTGTGAGTGTACCTAATATATATTTGTGTGGTTTATGCTTGAGTAACGCCGGCAATTGACGTATACCGCCCAGAAACAACAAATGCTTGAAATACAAAAAAAAAAGAAAAAAAAAATAGAAAAGCCGCAAAATGGAAAACCAAAAACAAAATAAACCGCACAGCCTAAAGAAAAACAGCTCGATCTCAAGTCAAGTGGAAAGACACATAAACCCCTGAAAAATATGACAAAAAAAATGTTACAGCTGGTGGAAAACCTCGTTCCCTTCAATCCCGTTCTCATTATTAGGCGCAAAACTCAGCCAAGCATTAAATAGTTTTGACAACCTCTTTCCGAAGATTGCTCTTTTAACTTTCGGTTTTTCTGGTTCATTTTATTTCAGGGGCATTGCCAAGGTCGGCGAACCCAATAATATAACGCCCATTATGTACATGGATCCGGCCATCCACTCTACACTGAGAAGAAAACAGCGACGGCTGGTCAGGGATAATCCCGGTGTGTTGGGAGCCTTGGTTAAGGGCGCCAACTTGGCCATCAGCGAATGCCAACATCAGTTCCGGAATCGTCGCTGGAACTGCTCAACGAGGAACTTCTCGAGGGGCAAAAATTTATTCGGCAAAATCGTGGATCGAGGTAAGTTTAACAAAACAGTCACTTAACTTATATGATATATCGTAGTTACCACTTAGGCTCATTTTTTACTGCCCCCATCCTTGCAACTCACTTAAGACGCCCTTCAGAAATATGATCTACAGATCTATTGTTGTCACCGCCTTCGTTTTTTACTTTTACTAACTACTAGAAAACAAGGCTGCCACACAAATTGCTTGCATAACCCAGCTCGAATCCAGTTTTTCCCTTCAACTGGTCCTTTATTTATGTTATGAAATGTCACTCCCCTGAACCTCTCTCTTGTATGTGGCGCTTGTTTGTTATTGTAATACGATCTGAGCACTTGGTAATATGTATATTTTATATATATATATATGGGTTGACTACCCTTTTGAAGGGGCCACTTTCCCCTGGACAGGAGGGCAAGTGGAGGAAGGGCGGAACAATGAGTTAGCTCTGTGCTCGATGCACTTGCTCCACTTGCATTTCAGCGTGTTTATGCTAATGAGCACAAGTTGGCAGTACCAGTGGAACCACTGAACCTCCGGAGAGTTGTCACTCACTCAGCCATTCAAATCAATCAAATGTGCTTGTCTTCTGGGACTTTAGTTCTTCGCCTGCTGTGACAGCAAAATCCCAGGAGAACGGGCAGTTTTTCTTATATAGTATAGATGTAAACAAAAGTCGCGCATGCGCAGTTTTTGTCCTGCCGCGTTTTTAGCTGGAAATCCATATGACTCCCGCCCTCGCCTGCCGTTTTATTAGCTACTGTTTTGTCCCGTTGTCCTGTGATCCTGACACTACTACCTGATGTTCGAATATATATAGTGGGCGTGGCAGGCGTCGCGTGGCTTCGATTCTCCAGTTACAGTTCCAGTTCCCTCGCATCCGTCTGTCAACGGCAGCTGACTTTTATAGCCAGGCTCTTGACCTTATCAAGTTATTTTTTTGACTCTCCACCAACACATCCTTTTTATGAGCTCTCGACATTTTATGGATTACTTAAAAGAAAAGGGAAATTATTGCCTCGGTGACAGCTTTTTATCGCAGCACTTTCATCGCTTTCCACAATCAAATTTTTAATGTATTTGTGCTATGCCCATGCCCTTGGCCCTAATTAACACCTAGAGCGCACCATTAACACTTGGGGTTCGGGTTTGGGCATGGGTACGGGTTTGAAGCGGAGCCAGTGGCTTTCAAACTGCTCGACAAAAATAAAAAAAAAAACCCTGCCAGCGGGGCACACAAAAATTCCAGTCTTGTCTTTATTTCATTTTTATTCCTAAGGCTGGCCTAACTTGTTTTCTAATTGGTGACACCTTGTCAATTTGCCACGCCACACGCTTTAACAGGCCGTCTCTATTAGTGAATTCTGGAAGTCTCGTTGGGTTTCTTGCAGAGATTTCCTTTTTGGCAATCATTGGTTCGTGACGAAGCCGCCCCGGGTGTCCCTGATTCCCTATATCCATATCCCTCCTATGCTACTATGTCCCTGTGGGTTTTATATCAAGAGGTCTAAACTATTCCGGGAACTGCTGACGATGCTGCTGTCACTAAGCAGCTTAACCCCGAGATGAGCTGGATAGCCTTCTTTTTTTTTGGCAGGACTCAGGATCAGCATGGGATGCTGCTTCTGATTTTCATCCTGCTCTCAATTTCAATCAGCTCGAGACACGCCCACTCACAGCGGAAATCCGTTTTGGCAATTATATGTAAGACAGAAAAAAACGTATCGCATTACATGCGGAAATTTATTTTTTGGTTGCTCCATTTTGGCCACACCCTTTCTTTGCCTAATTGCTCAGGGTGCACCACCCTCGCTTTTTTATTATATATTTCGTATTTATTATCTTTTGTTCGCTATTTACACAAAAACATAAAACAAAACACAAAAAACCACAAAAGGAGAGTACGAAATGCAAACAGTATTTCGCTTCCAAAAGGTAACGCGAATTCTTGCTAAGCTAATCACCAGAAAAAAACAAAGTCACCAATGACTGTGTCACGCCTCTGGGCCCAAGCCCCCCGCCCCTCTTCGCACCACAAACCCCCCCCTACCCACGCCTCTGTGATTTCCAAACCTTTTGCGCATGCGCCGCCGCCTTATCGCGGCCCAAACATCTTGCACATATTTACACACAATTTACCTGTGTGCGCCTTAAATTTCGTTACATACGTGAAATTATTTAAGGAAAAACGAAACCACCAACAACAAACAAACAAACATTAACCGGGAATTGAAGGCTCACTCTGCTATAGTTTCGGAAAAAAAAGAAAACAAATTATTTCGTGGTCGAATTCCAGGAAATCGAAATCAAAAGCGGCAAAATTTTTAACACCAAGCGGAAGTTGTTTTCGTTGATACAGAGAGCGCGGGAATCTGTCAATCATCAAGTGCAGACTAGTCAATCATAGACATATCAATCAACACTTGCACAAAAAAAATTAAAAGGGTAATTTTCGGATTTAAAAATGTTATGTCTTACTCTTGGAAACATTTTAAAATGTATTTTTGATTTAACAAAACTTTCGATTGCGTAGTTTATTGATTTGATAAATAGTTAAACATAAATATTCATCATATTCATTAAATAAAAAGGAAAATCAGTGACATAAATTTGAGTTTTCAAAGTTGGTACATTTCAAGTACTTTACACTCTTCGAAACGCAACTGAAAATTCCAAACATGGTTGACAAGGTTCTACTCAAGAATTTTCAGCTACCTGAACGGCGAGACCATCCCTATATATATATATATATATATCATATCTTGAGCTATGAACCGAGGCGAAACCACTTGAAAAATTATCTGCAACATGTAAATTCAATTTTCATTGTTCTTTATCTGTGATGGTCTCGCTCTCAGAACAGAAACCGAAACAGAAACGACTGCGAACGGAGGCAGTTACTAAAAATAAAAAAAAAATAAAAATAAAAGTAAAGCGTACAAGGGGGAAACTGTCCACTCGAATGGATTGTGCAGAGATGGGCCCAAAGTGTTAAGTTGGAATTTATAGTTGAGCGTTTAATCTGTGTCAGGTTTTGGTGCGCTCATCTCTTTTTCTCCGTGGCATCGTGGCATTGATAACTTGAAGTGTCATAATTGACCAGGCTTTGGAAGACAAGTGCCATTACTCATAACGAAAATTTCAACTCTTGCCCACGACGTCTCCGGCCATCACTTCACTTGGCTGAGATTGAGATCTTGTCTTGCTCGCGTCGCGGTGTATTGGACTTCGGTGCGAAGTGGAACACCCAGAAGGCGAAAATAATGACTGCATGGAGATATGAAATTTTTAATACTACTGCTTCTTACTTTTTTTTTAGGATTCAAAACTGCAAAGGCAAAAGAAAGTATTTAAAAATACATTTTGAGTATTTTTATTTATTTATTTATTTTAACTTCAAATATTTTATAAATAATTCATGAGCTATGCATAAAAATACTTCTTATTACAAACAATGCACCTTTAAAAAATAGTTACTAGTTATTATCATTATTGTCTTGAAAACGCAATTTTATTTATTTTTGAGGCACTGAAACTAAACCGAAATTCCTTTCCATTTTTTTGCAGGCTGCCGAGAGACGAGCTTCATCTATGCCATTACCAGTGCGGCGGTGACCCACTCGATTGCCAGGGCCTGCAGCGAAGGGACGATCGAGTCCTGCACCTGCGACTATAGCCACCAGTCGCGGTCCCCACAAGCGAACCACCAGGCGGGCAGTGTGGCTGGAGTGCGGGATTGGGAGTGGGGCGGCTGCTCCGACAATATCGGATTCGGGTTCAAGTTCTCCCGGGAGTTCGTCGATACCGGCGAGAGGGGTCGCAATCTGCGCGAGAAGATGAATCTGCACAACAACGAGGCGGGCCGAGCGGTAAGTTAAGCTTCATAACATTAATACACAGAGAAAAATGGATAGAAAATAAGCCACAGTAATATTTGTTTAATTAATTAATTTTAAATTAATTTTCAAATTCTTTGGAAAAGTAACAATGGCTTATGTAGGTTTTATGTCATATGAAAATCCATCTGTTTTTGCTCTAAATTATATGTTTTTTTCTGTGTAAACCGTAATAAGTAGTCCTAATGTTCGGTTTAAGCCTGGCTGGGCGATTTACGACTGGAGCGCTAATAAAAACCAGCGACGACAATTTCCGTCCCCACAATTAATTGGAGCCGAACGCCAATTGGCCTAGCTGGCTTATCTATTCCTCTCTCTTTCGCTCCCATCTCTAGCTGTCTCTTTCGCTGCTGAGAATGTGGGGGGATTTCTGCACTCGTTTGCGCTTGTGTCGCTCGTATATTAACTCGTTGACAGCTTCCAGTTCCCCTCCACATGCAAGAAAATAGTAGTAGGACTTAAGTTTTTGGGGGCAACTGCACAGTGGTTTCAGTTGTACAAAATCTAAACAAAAATAATAAAGTTCTAACTAACTTATGGTTCGAAACTCTACCGGTTCCATAGATATTTCTCATTTAACAACCAATTATAAATTGACTGTGCGTTAAAATCTAAGTACAGTATTTATATGGTACATCCAGATTTGGCTAGCTAGTTGGCTAGTTGACACACTGTGCGACGCCACTCCCGCTGACCGTTTTAGTGGGGCGTAGAAACTAGCACACTGCGCCAACATCCAGCTAGAGCCGATCGATTCCACCGGATCCGGGCCTAGTCCTCCCCATCCCCATCCTCATCCTCCGCCTTTTGGAGTGCAGGGCCCACCGTCTGTGTTATTATTTTATTACTTGTTATGGGCCGCAGCTCCATAATCATTGCGATGATCAGCATGATGATGATGATGATCATTAGGTTGCTGCTGCTGCTGCTGCTGAAGGCCCCCCAACTGCGTTGATTTCTTACTTTTGGTCCGCGCACAACAATTACAACCCAGCCACTTCGGGATGGAGGGGGAAACATGCAACAAGCGCACAGCAAGTTGCAACAACATTTATTGATTTTTAATAACTGCAACAACGTGGCAGGCGGGCCGCCAATCTCCCAGTCAGAAAAAAACGGCAAAAACAACAGCCGGCTAAGAAAAAACAGCAAAATAATTAAGTGAAAAACATATTGCGAGTCGAGTGGATTCGCAAGGAGCCTAATAAAGTCATACTAATGAACAATCTCTCCCCGCTTCTTTTTCGATCTACAGCACGTCCAGGCGGAGATGCGACAGGAGTGCAAATGCCATGGCATGTCCGGCTCTTGTACAGTGAAGACCTGTTGGATGCGACTGGCCAATTTCCGTGTGATCGGTGATAATCTCAAGGCCCGCTTCGACGGAGCCACCCGCGTCCAGATTACCAACAGTGTGAGGGCCAGCAATGCCTTGGCCGGAGTTAGTCCCAATGCGGCCAGCTCGAATTCCGTGGGCTCCAACGGCCTGATTATTCCCCAATCGGTGGTCTACGGCGAGGAGGAGGAGCGCATGCTGAACGACCATATGCCGGACATTCTGCTGGAGAACAGTCATCCGATCAGCAAGATCCATCATCCAAATATGCCGTCGCCCAACAGTTTGCCCCAGGCTGGGCAAAGGGGCGGTCGAAACGGACGTCGGCAGGGCCGCAAGCACAATAGGTAAGGATCAAAGGGATATATAGAAAAAAAATGGCTAAAGAATATAGAACAATACTTTGAACTTGAAAATACATTGAACTTCATTCAGAGAATTGAAGAAAATTTAGAGAAGTACACAAATTTGATGACAATTTGGCATATAATAGTAAAGCTTTTGAAAAGCCAATCAAAAATTCCTAAGCACCACACTAACTTGTAACTATTTTACTCTTCTCCCCGCAGATATCACTTCCAACTGAACCCGCACAATCCCGAGCACAAGCCGCCAGGCTCCAAGGACCTCGTCTATTTGGAGACCTCGCCCAGCTTCTGCGAAAAGAATCTGAGACACGGCATTTTGGGAACCCATGGGCGCCAGTGCAATGAGACCTCGCTGGGCGTCGACGGATGTGGGCTGATGTGCTGTGGGCGTGGCTATCGGAGGGATGAGGTGGTGGTTGTGGAGCGATGTGCCTGCACCTTCCACTGGTGCTGCGAGGTCAAGTGCAAGCTGTGTCGAACCAAGAAGGTCATCTACACGTGTCTTTAAGAAAGCATCCTGCCTCAAAAACCCACTTCCCTCCCTCTAAAACTCGTCGCCCCACTTCTTTGTATGTGTTATGTATTTTGTCTACGCTTAGCCTTTGTTATTAGCACCTTAAGAGCCTAGACTATAGCCTAGTTAAAGATACAACTAACCGCCCTGACAAATCCCATCTAAAGCCTCACTTTTTAGCTCTCACTTTTTTTTGTAGCAGTATTACACGAGGAATATTAACGAATAGATTTCAAGAAAAAAGTGAGGAAAACTACATGTGTTTGCCCAGTTTTTAGTCATGTAAGCCAGTTCCCAATCGAAGGAAAAATATTTTGTAAATTACAAAGCCCCCATTTTTGTACCCTTAGATAATAGTTAACAATTAATATTTGTTTTTAAGTTAAGCTTAAAGTTTTCGAAGCGCGTTCCCATTCTTCTGAATCCCTATCCCTACTCTGTCGCTTAAAATCATTTTTAAATCATTGACAACAAGACTGAAAATTCAAATTACGCGCTGCTCCTTCCTTCTCTCTAGCGAACACTGCTTGAACTGCTTGCATACTGCTTTGGCCAGGACCAAAATGTATGGAAAGTGGGCAGAAATATCCTTCAAGAAAATCGATTATCCAGGCTGGAAAACAATTGGGATAAGTTACCAAAAATTCCATAATAAGTTTTCCATTCCTAGCCTGGTCATACAAAACAAAAAACAAAAACTTTTGTGTACATAAATAAGCTTAAATTAACTTTTAGTTTTAGGATAAATTCATACCAACCCCACGAAAAAACAGAAAAAAGATTTTAGTTGCTTGGAATTTATGAAATTTTGCACACGAAATATTTTTTTTTGTAAACGCATTAAATTTATCCCCCTGAACTTTCGGTTGTGCGTTCTCCCCCTCCAAATGTAGGTATTACTAATTAATTAAATGCACTTAGCTGGCTAGTTAAACTAAGTATATGAATAGCTTGATATGAATATTATATTTAATTAATTTATACTAGCTCATAGACATTCAATTTTGTAAAGTATTAATGCGAAGGAAAACAAGAAACAAAAAAGCGAGCAGAAAAATGCGAATGCAATCGAAAACAAATCAATAAAAAACAGAAAACGACAATGAGTAAAAAAATTACAAAAAATAAAAATAAAGCAAAGTGGAATTTATTTGTGTGGCTACGACTGATGCTGCTGTTACTGCTGCTGCTGCTGGGGCAATTATTTGGCTCATGTGTGGCGCAATTAGCTGGGGACTGGGGGTACAGGTACAGGTACAGGTCAGGGTCGCCGCTCTGCTCTGAGGCATTTCAATATTTGATTTAAGCCAGCTCGCTTGCGGTGGCAGTTTCCCAAGCGCATTTTTTGTGCTCTTACAGCAACTGTCAACCTGGGCAGCTACAGAAAGCAGAAACAACTGCTGCAACAAGCAGCGACAGTTGCATCTTTTGTATATCGTCGGCAAAAGTCGGTGGATAAGCCCCGATCCCCGATCCCCTGCCCAAGCCCCTTTCAGCTGACAATGCGAACGACAATTCCGCGCTGTCAGCGGCGAGCCATCGAATGTGGCTTTCAAGTTTTAGCGACTCGGGATTGAGGATGTGGATGTGGATGTGGATGCGGATGAGGTTGAGGTAGATCTTCGGCGCTGGACGATCGCGACATGCAATTGCCGGACCAACTATGCAACCTGACATCCGACAGATCTAGACGAGAGCAGGCGGGAAAGATAAACCTAAACCTGGATGAGACTTACATTGATCCTGATTTCAGCTACTGATCTGCAGATGAAGATGGAGCTGGAACTCGGACTTGGATTCAAGCTAACTAAACACACACTCTGGCCAGAATAAAAAAAAAGTGATCGTGCTACATGTGTCCACTGTGCTTGACAGTTTTGTTTCGCCTTTTTTTTTGATACGGGTGGGAAAACAATTTTTCGTCCAGAAAACGGGATTCCACAGAGATGTTTGATTAGCTGCTGATTTTTCAGGGACCTTGAACTAAGTGCAAATAACCCGAAATAAATAGTTTAAAAAACCTTTATAGTTAAAGCAGCTATCTAAATGATTGTGATGAAACAACAAAAATCACTCATTGAATGATTTAATTACTCCTCATCAGCCCCTATATCTGACATCATTGGGTACCCTCAACTCATCCTGGTTCCCCATTATGTCACTTGTAATTAAAGAATAGCTTCCAAATGACCGGCAAATGATTCACAATCCGTTGGCCTCATCTCACACTCACAGTAAAGCAGCAAGCATCGATGCACCGCGAAAAAACAATTTAACTTGTTTTAATCAAACTTTAAGTGTCCAAAAGATATTAACTATAACAGTTTGTTATATATTTTATATATTAAAAATGTTAATACTATATATATATATATTATTTTCAGCATAGGTTTTGATATTAAGATACAAATTAGAATTTGTTTAATTTATAATTGTTCTACGAATTCCAACAAATTTTAAAGAAAAATGTTTATTGCAGAAACCTTATTTCGTATCTATCAAATCAATATTTATTAAATGCAAGTGAAATCTAATGCGTTCCCTTTGCCAAATCAATTAGATTTCTTAACGCAATTTATTAGTATAAATTAACTGAAAAAAAACTTAATTTGTATATTCTTTACTTCTTTATTTTAAAATACATAGTGTGAGTTTTTTTTCTGTGATCCTGAAACTACATCTCTGGCAACCTATTGGGCTTATTGGCCTTATTGGGCATCTCATAACCCCACGGGGCACATAGTACGCGTAGTTAGAGAGTGACGTGCCATTGTTGTTACTTAGTTGGCACCGCGAGGCGACAATTGTTGTCTCCAATGAGTCGTAGTCTTGGCTTGTTGTCGCTGTCTGGTCCGAGGAGACACTGCTCCTAATCAATAAAACTAACGAGCGGATTAGGATTGCGTTGGCATGGTGGTTGGCTGTTGCAGTTATGGTGGCTCTTGCTGCTTACCAAAAGCGGGCTGACAAACACTTTCGGAATGTAATTCCTGTTCGGGATCGCGATCTTTGTAGGGATCTCTTAAAGTTGCCATTCGATCCTTGTTAGAAATATCTATAATAAATGTATTTAAAGTATTATAAATTTGGTTAATTTAATGTTTTTCCCATTAAAATTCTAAAAAGAAACTATTACGTACCAATTGTTAATAATGAATTTATCCAAATTCAAAAGCTCAAATTCTGAAATTTAATATTTTAGCATGTGCATGCTCACTGTATATATTTCACTGAAAGCTTTTAAACAAACTTCAAAAATGTTCACATACTTTTTATAAAATTTGAAATGAAACGGAATGAAACCTATTTGTATTATCATATCCGCATACGATAATATTAAATCTTAATCCATTTTAGCCAGGTGAGTTTAATTGTTCATTTACTACCGTTTAATTATAGTTCGAGAGAATTGAAACTTGTGTGTGATTTGTATTTAATGAGAGAGTTAAGGTTGTGGCTAATACTATTGCGTCCGTCGGGGCGACAGACCAAAAGCGGCGCACGTTCATCCCAAAAATGGTCAGGCGGCCTAATGAATTGCAAGTCGCCAGCGTAGTCCACTATAAACAGCCTGTTCGCATACAAAATCAAAAAAAAGGTGGAGGAAAGTATACCTAAGGAGTCGAAGTCTAAATACCCTAGAATATGGAAAATATTCTTAGTACTAATATGTATTACAATTTCAACAAACTATTTCTCATTAAATAAAATCAATAAAACATACATGCTTAAAATTATTATATTTTTTACCTGTATACCCCTTTAAAACATTATTCAAAAAATTAAGTAATTGAATTTCTATGGTAAACTATTGTACAAAGTATATAAAAAAGTTAATTTTTTTATTTAGACCTCGAACGACCAAGAATCAACATTTTAGGTTGATTTGGAAGGCTTTAAGCCAACTTTTCTAACAAAATGACATACTCACCGAAGGAGAAGAGGAAAACGAAATGAAGGTAAGAAGAACGGCCCACAAAAAGCGGATCGGGATCCCCATGTCGGTCATCTTCCTCCACTCGGTCGTCAATCGCTCGGCGGTTCGATCGGTGGATCGATGGATCGATGGATTGCCATTGCGCATGAGCGTTCGATGGTTCGACGATGGTTTTGGCCGCTGATGTGGATGTGACAATGACAGTTGTTGTTCGTCATGTTTGGAGCATGTAGTGCCCCGTTCCGAGTCCGCAACCGCATCACCGCCAGCCGCCGAAGGCCTCGCCATCCTGACATGCTCCTCTTTTGTGTTGTAATTGCAGACGCCACACGTTTCGCGCGCTGTTTGATTTGGAAATTGCAACAGATCGACTCGGAATGGGCAATATATCGCGATGGGGGCATCTCATTGACTTGGCATTCCCGGCACGCGCACTTCTTGGCATGACAAGACTTTTAAGCCTCCCCCCATACCCTCCTTTCCCTGCCATTTTCACTCTTTTGGCCCTTTGGCCACAATGAAAATTTTCGACTCAAGGCACTCCGAAGTGTGTGTGCGTTAATTAAGTGGCAATTGTTGCGAGGCGTGAGAATTTGGCGGATTAGGCAGAGAAAAATGTAAGTGACCTAGGACAAACACCAGTCGGTTGTGGGTTGAGTTTCAGCGCAGTTTCCCCTTTTCGGGCAAAGCTATCCCTAAAAGGCATCGCAACTTCAAAGGTGTTACTAAAGTTTGTAGACTATTTAGTAGCTCTAGAGGAAATTATGTTAGCTACATTAAAAGATAATAATTTATAAATAATGTAATGTAATTTTACAATCTTTCAGTCCTAAGCTATTGATTTGTATACCCTAACCATAACCGAATTGGTGGCCTAGTGCCTATGGCTATCAATCATCGTGCCGCAGCCTGTTAACATGGGCGACAAGTTCTGCGATTGTCGCTACCAGGAAGCAATGACCAAGCACCGAGATCGAGATGAGACCACCAGAGGCGCAGACTGTCAACTGGCAACTGGTAATACCCTCTGAGACCGACTAGACCAGACTCCCGACCATGTAATTAACAGCACGCAAAAAGTGTTTGCGAAGCGTTTATGGAACGGGATGGGGCTGGGATGTTATTGGATATGGGTGTCCCATTGGCAGAAGGCGACACGCATGTAAACATTGCCATTTTTGGCTAAAGACGCGACAGCTGCTCTGGACATCGGGACTGGTCTGCACATCACATCCTTCCCGCTTTACAATACACAGAAAAATATAAAAACTCTGCTCAAAAACTTAATTTTCAATAAAATCTTAGTTGTTGAAGTTTCTTACCAAAATTCTTCTTAAAACAAATTACTTTATCCATTAGTTCTTATTTTTAAGAAATTTTAATTAGTAGTTTCCAACGAATAAAAATTAATAAATAAAAAAAGTTATTTAAACATTAATATTTAAAAATGTGTATGTACAAGTATGTGTTTACTAGTTTAGCTTATCGGCAATAAAATAATTTTCAAGTGAGCAAATATTCAACTAGTTTTCTGTAATAGAAGAAAGTTTAATTAAGTAACAAAACCTTTACATATTAAGTAACTCACTGTTTGTATTCCCATTTTTGAATTGATGCAAGGGCTTATCAAGTCATCTGACAAAATAATTTGTTTTATTTTGAAAAATTCGAAAGTTGCGTCTATTAACATCTAGTAAGTGAGTTATATATTTTTCTCACCGTGCAATCCATTCCATTCCCATCTGGGTGGCCAACTGAGCAATGACGATCTGACGATCGTAATTGAGTTACAAAAAGGTCAATCGATCCACCGGGCGATGTGGAGTGTCAGTGCTCGACTTTAATTTATTTTATAATTACACGCACTTTATGCCTAATTAGTTTTGTTTTTCTGCCCCCTTCTGTCCCCGTGCACCTCCCCTCGGAGTTGCCTGTTACCTGTCTGTCGGATCGGGGCCACAAAAAAGTTTCCCATCATTTGGCTTCCATTATGCAGCGTTCGCGGCCACCGAATTCCAAAGGTGCGCGCGAATGGGCGTCAGGTTTGCACAAACACACATGTGTATAAGAAAATAAAGCCCAAACAAAGGAGCAGTGCCAGGGGGTTAGGGGGAAGTTGGAGGGGGGTGCGCCTGGGTGCCCACTACGATTCCCAGTC